TTCTTCCCTGAGCTTTTTGCTCCCGTATACTATTCCCTACTTATTATTGTCCTTTTTGAATACTTATTGTGTATATTGTGAAAAAAATGTATCTTATCGGTTAATGTTTAGAGGTAAATGCCCAAATGTTATTTTTACTTTTTCCTTCTAGTTGTTGCGAGAGGCCATTCACTTTTCGTGTCTTCCTATGTTTATGCTTTTTTTTTTTTTATTGTGAATTTGCCTGATAATACAATTTGTCATTAAGTAGTGACCACAGCTTGAGTTTGTTAATTGTAATAACCATTGCTTGGTTCTTATTTATTTTATTTTGTTCATGTGAACACTGATACAGAAAATAATTGTTATTTTACCAAACGCATATTCATCATGTAAATATATATAGTAGTAAAGGAAAGCTATTTTTCCTCTCTGCAATTTATGTATGTTTGGATGGAAGGATGGATTAGCAAATATTAATCCGTTGTGTATCAAAATTAAGATGGTTTTATGGTAATGTCAATTCCAAATTTGGAAGGAACTTGGTAGGCCACTGAATAATAAGATGTTGTCACTGAACAAAAATGCACACCCATTTATTAAAAATAACCAGTGAATCTTATAAGCAATTATAATGGGCTCTTGCTAGATAAAAGTTATGTTTTTGCTCTCTATAACAAGAATATACCTTGTTATTTAAGAAACTGAGGTGGTTTTTGGTCTTTACTCTTCATTTGACACTAAAACATTTACGTTATGGGGTAGTTTTCTTTCTTAACCCGTTGATCTCTACTTGATTTTATGATGTTACGCAATGCAGTATGAATGAGCAATAAAAAAATTACACTGCTCGTTAACTTGTGTTTCTTGGAAGAAGAATGTTATGCGTAATAACAAAATTGGCTCATAAATGGCTCCTAAAACCTTTCAAAGATAAGCATAAGCACAACATACTTGTATAAGATATACCTTTCACAGATAAGAACAGCAAAAAAGAAATATATAATCTGACGATGTTGCATCTTTGGATCGAAATTGCGTTGCATATTTCTTCAATGATTGGAGGACCATGAAACATTTAATTTGTATGATGGTATTGTAATTACAATATTGAATCCTTTAGTTCTCGATTTTATTGTTAGCTTCAACTTGTAAAAGTTCTTAAGATTTTGGTTGAACAGATGAGGTGCGTTTGGTACCCTTTCTTTTTTAATACCATTGCTTTTGCTTTCTATTATTGCTATTCTTTATTTGTTTTAAAATTTTTGTGTACAACTCAAAATTTGATAAATTTTCTTGGTTTTCATAAAATAGAAAGTTTTCAATTTTACCTTTTTTTCCTTTCAATTCCACAATAAATACATAGTTATTTTTTCTTCACTTTTGTGGTAAATGTGTAAATTAATTAAAACTTAGGTGAGAAAAAGGATATAATTATTAAAATGTTAATTAATGTTATCTTGAAATTTAAAATCACAAATAGGAGCAAAATTGTACGAAAATTTCAATAGTTAACAAGGAAGAAAAGGATTACCAGAAAAAAAAAATAAGAAAAGGAATATCGTGAGATCCATCATTAAAGCTCAACTTAAATGTAATTTCACTGATTCGCTGAAGTTTTACGGGTAGGATTCTGGTAGTTTAATGGAAAAAATATTTTTTTATCCATCGAAAACAAACTCGTATCATTTTTCTTTTTTGTTGTTGTTATAATTGGGTTAATTTAACTAATGTTTGTTTATCATTAACTAGTGTTAAATCCGTTGACCCAACTAAAAATGGCAAAAACATGGTACTTGTTAAGGTTGAGCATGGGTCGACTTGGATCCATCTTTACTCAAACGTAACCTAACCAAGGTACAAAAATAGTTCTCAACCAAATTTTGATTTATTATATTAATTTTATCATTATGTATAGTTAAATTATAAATTAAAAGAAGTACAAAATTTATATTAAGATACATTTTATAATATATATTTTTAAAATAAATGATTTTATTATAATACAATATCATGTTATAGAAAATATTAATAACTAAATAATTTGTTATTATTAATAATTCAATAAAATCATTACTTTTAAATAAAAAATTATATGTTAAATTAGCTTACGCAGTTCGAAATATAACTCAAATTTGTCCTAAAAATGTATCAAGCTTAACTTCAAAGTCCAATTAATATTAGACCAGGTCATGCTCATTCTTAGTACCTATGAATATTTGCTAATAAAATTCTGTAAATAAATACTCGTGGATAACAGATGTGGATATTTTTATATCCATTATAAATGGAACAAGACAAGTATGGTAGTATCCATACACATGAATACTCATTAAGTAAAAATTATTTAAATATCATGTTTATCTTATTTTTTTTATATTATTTTAATATTTTAACAAAATTAACATTAAACCCAAATTTAAAAATTAATATCAATTATTTATCTTTAATATTTCAATATAATTAACATCAAATATAAGGTTAGTTTTATTTATAATATTATTTTTAATTTCACAAATATTTATGAATATTCATAGATATCTTATAAATATTTATAAAATTTACAAATACCTACTTAATAGATATCGATACAGGTATGAGATGAATTTTTATATGACGGAATGAGAACAAATACCCTATTACCTTATCTCATAGAACTCCATTACCATCTTAAACCTAACCTAGTTTATTGATATGTTTTAAAGTTTACTTTATTTGTCCTAAGTATTTGTTATAAAAAAAAAATTCGAAAGTGTTATTTTTTAGTTTTCTTTAATGTAATATTAATTTTTTTCATTTATATCTTTAAAATTATTATTTAAAATGACGATGCAGATTAATAATAGAGTGAATTTATAAAATTATTATTATTTATTTATTTATTAACTTTTATTGATTTGTCTAACTTACTTATTATGAGATGATAACTTAAGGTGTTACTTGTTATGGGATGAATGAAGTAATTTATTATATATATATATATATGTTTTAAGAGAAAGAGAGGGAAATATACACGTAAATGAAATTAACAAGAGTCAATAGAGTACATTCATTCGGCCAATGTAAAATATCAATCTTATGAGTGTACGGAATTAATTCGCAAGTGTGAACTTTTCTGCCGAAGAGGGAAGCAACAAACTTCGAACATAAAATTTTGGGTTAAATTATATTTTTTTCTTCTATTACTTATTTTTAAGATTTAATTTAGTCTTATTATTTTTAAGTTGTTTAATTTAAATATTTTATTTTTTAAAAAATTCCTAATGTTATTCTCCCGTATAAATTAATATTAAAGACATTAATGATATTCAATAGAATGATAATATTGAATATCACTTGAAAATTAAATAATCAAATTGAATTATTTATGTTTAATTAAATTTTATTATATTTAAAATATTTAATTTGATCTTCTAATTTAAAAAATAATAATTAATATTATCCTTTTAGCTAATTTTATTAATTCATTAGTGTTAATTTGCATGCAAAGATAATATTAAATATTTTTTTAAAATAAAATGATCAAATTGAACTTTTTAAAAGTAAAGAGACTAAATTAAATTCTAAAAATAAACAGAGGAACTAAAAATTAGGGGTATTCACAGGTTAGGTTGGTTCGAATTTAGGTGAAAATCCAATTTGAATCAATAATACTTAATTGGTTTGGATTGATTTGAATTTCATAAATTTTTTTGCTTAACCCAAACTAATTTGACATTGATTGGGTTAGTTTAGGGTTTAGGGTTTAAGATTGAGCTGGTTCAGTTCGAGTTATCAAATATTTTTTAAAAAAATAATTTTTTTTCTCAAAGTAAGTAGATTTTTAAACATTAACTAAATTGATATATTGTAAAAACTTAAGTAAATTGATAAATTTGTAATATAATTTTTTTTAATTTCTTTTCTTAATCTACTTAAAGATTTCAAATACACTATAGTATATGAAAATGACATTCAATATTTTAGAATATAGTTTTTCTTAGATTTTTTTTAAGTTTTTAAAAAAATGAATAAAATATTTACATATTGTAGCACAAAAATATCAAAATAATACACACATATATATATATATATTAATTGTTAACTAAATTAAAGATAAAAAACTAACGTATAATTAATTAGTTTGATTCAAATTTTAAACATGTAAATTCAATACATGAACTAATTAATATCGAGTTTAATTGATTTGATTTAAGTTAAACTTGAACGAAAAAAAGAATATTGATTTGTTTAGATTGTCCGATTTATTAGATTGATAAAATAAACATCTTTATTAAAAATATAATTTAGTCAAATTTTGTTAACTCATCATACAGAGTCTCGAATCTTGTTCCCACAATAAATTTTATCATTAGCTTTTTCTTGTCTAAATATAAAATTATAATCGTAAATTTAGCTTTATGAAATCAATTATACACATACCAAATGCCATTAATCAATAATTTTATATATTCATCTATTTGTCCGTATAACGTGGGTTTCTATGTATCTTGTATTCCCTGATTTCAACTACATAATATCAACTCCGAAAATCCATTTCATGCCAAGTTCAAACAATGAGAGATGTTATAGTACTTATTTTTACTTTTATTTTGAGTTTAATTTCTAAGTAACCTCACTGTAATTTATTATTTATTTTCATTATCATCCATTTGAAAATTATCATAGTTATTTTCTTGGGGAATTAGAAATTACTGTTTGAAAGACTTTTAAAAGTTTCAAACTTTTAAAGCAGTAGTTAACAATCTTGATTTCTCATTTGATATCAAACACTTCTTGATTGTTAATTCTCACAATGATGCATGTAATGTTTAGTGTCCACTAAATTACTATCAACTATATTTGACAAACTACTTTCAAAATACATTTTTATTTTCTTACATAGGAATCGGAGTAATTAACCAAATGTAATTCAGAAAGCTTTTCATTGTGTCTCATATCATGGAACTATTCAATTGAATGTAACCTTCAATTCATCTTTTTGCACCTCAACAATTTTCATTTAGAGAAATTTGGTTAAATAGCTTAATTAAAAATTTATTTAAGAGGAACTAATCATAAACATGAGAGTTGCTCAAAAACTTGACAACAAGTTGAAATAAATAGGGGAGCATTACACTTTTGCAACATAGTTTTACTATACATGTAACATAGTAGCAACAAACTTAGAGAGCTGTTCTTGAACTTTTTTCATGAATATAAAACAGTAGCCTGGATAAATGCATACCAGAAAATAGAGAAATCCATGACATAGCTTTGGAGAAATTTTAAAAGAAGCAACATCTAAGTAGAGATTGGAATTTCTCAATTTTGAAGAGCATAAGGTGAATTCTCATATTTACCATCCCACCTGTTTGGAATGAGAGAAATTTTGGTTATACAGAAAAATTTAGTTTAAGAAAACATGGTTATTGAAACAAAAACACCAATCAACCTGCATTCCTCAGTTTCTGGAATCTGCAGCTCCAAATTCTTCTCAAATGGCTGAAAGATCAAGTCCAACTTTCTATCTTCTACTTTGTCCAGCGATGAAGGTTCCCACTGAACAAGGTTGTAATTTAGTATTATAAAAGACACAGCAATTATAATATTTTTAATGATTTTGGACATGATTTTGCTAGTAGCCAGTTGATTTTGAGTTTAATTTTTATAATTACTGTTTAACAACACAATTGGCATTCCTTGACTGGCTTTGATGCATGTATAATTTCCTAACCAAACATGGATATAGCAGTGTTCTAGTCAAGTTTTGTGGGTTATAAATGCATGATTTTTCTAAAGGTTGAAATATAAACAAGCTAGTGTGTTGAGATAGCCCTACCTTTAAATGCTGATTTTCATCTATGAATGTAAGAACCTTAAAAAGTAATTTAATTTTCCTTTTCTTAAGTCTGGATCATTTTTATTTTAGTGGAACTTTTTCAAACAATATCCATGTAACAGCTTTCAACTTATGGATGGGATTAGTGGAAAAAGAAAGGAATACTTAAGTTAATGAAGATTAAATAATACATGCCTTGACTTTTTCAATTAAAAATTACCAATATGATAAGTTTGTTGATTTTGTAATAACTATCATAAAAATCATACTAAAGATATTTTTGATTAGTTAACTGTATACAAACTTTTACACTAATACATATCTATTAAACTCATTAATGAATTAGTTTGACTCCATCTTTCATTAATGCATATCTAACAACATTGGCAGTTCCAATACATATAGAAGAAACATGTGTGCATGCTTTATGTTGAGATACAAACAAGTCTCACATCTTATAAAAAAAAAATAACAACTTATAAAGCATACACATACTCCAATGTAAGAGAGGTCTTTTGGGTAATATCCAAAAGCAAAATCGTGATGGTTTAAGCCCAAAGCAAACAATATCTCATCATTGTGGAGTATGTTTGTGTAATAACCTTATAAAAATAATACTTATAAAATATTCCTTCAAACAAATATCATAAAATATTCCATCAGTGATATCAGAGCTGCAAGGTTGGATGCGACAATAACCCTCATTACCCTCATAACTCATAACATATAATGTGATATATAAAGATAAATTTCGTTGCATGAAAGGTACAACCCTCATTACCCTCATAACTCATAACATATAATGTAATATATAAAGATAAATTTCGTTGCATGAAAGGTTAGGTCCCTTGTTTGAGGGGAGGATTGTTGAGATACAAATAAGTTCTACATCGATAAAATAAGAGAAAAAATAACAACTTATAAAACACACACATACTCTAATGTTAGAGAGGCCTTTTGAGTGATGACTAAAAGCAAAACCGTGAGGGCTTAGGCCTAAAGCGGACAATATCTCATCATTGTAAAATATACTTGTATAATAACCTTATAAAAATAACCCTCATATAATATCCCCTTAGACAAATACAATAAAATAATCCTAACAGTGGTATCAGAGCCGCAAGGTTGGATGCCGTAACAACTTTCATAACTCATAACATGAGGCCTTTTGGGTAATAACTAAAAACAAAACCGTGAGGACTTAGGTCCAAAGCGGACAATATCTCATCATTGTAGAGTATGTTTGTGTAATAATCTTATAAAAATAACCCTCATAAAATATTCCCTCAGACAAATACCATAAAATAACTCCAATAGTGGTATCAGAGTCGTAAGGTTGGATGCAATAACAACCCTCATAACTTATAACATGAGGCTTTTTGGGTAATAACCAAAAGCAAAACCGTGAGGGCTTAGACCCAAAATAGACAATATCTTATCATTGTGGAGTATGTTTGTGTAATAACCTTATAAAAATAACACTCATAAAATATCCTATCAGACAAATATCATAAAATAACCTCATCACTTTAGAAGAGAGAAAATACCTTTGGAGCATTATCCTTATCAATGGTGAGAGCTCTAATACCCTTCTCATCAAAAGACAGTAAAAGTTTTCATCAGAGTTTAGTAGGGAACAAATTCAAAAATCTTTACAACATTGAGCTTCTTTCTGTAAAAATTTGAGACAACACCAATTACCTCATACATATCCTCAGATATTGTAGTCCTCAGTATATTCATTGTTAATCTGAATTCCCTTTTTAGGCATTCAGCTAGTGTTTGATTCCTTCCTTCACGAACCTGTACATATCCAAGACTCAGTGATTAACAGATTATGCATTTTCTGTTATTTGTCTTGATTTTAGTTTCTTATAGAATTTGAAGGATAATACTTGTAAACACCTAGAAGGGAAAATTATTGTAGTTACATATAAACATATTTGTGTAAACCTCAAGTTTTATCTGCCAAACATGATTTGAAGCCCTCAGTACCTGGAGTACAGTCTAAGATCTTACGAAAGTCTAATAATAAAATCCTTACCGATCTAAATGCTATTTTCAATGCAGTTGGTGATGATCTTTTCATCCCTTTTAAAACTGCACCTATCCATCCATTTCCTTCCTTGTTTGCTTCAACTTCCTTCAGATTAAAGCACATAGTCATATATAACGGTTCACAAAGGAATCAGCATGCAATAAGATAAAAATATTCTTATGGAAATACTAAGAAACTTACCAATGATTTTATAATTTCCTCTACAGAATCCTTTGAGAAGCACTCATTGATTATTGGTTGCCTAAAAATCTCAAAGGTTACTATTGTCTTGGGCACAGTGCAATTTGATGGTAGCAGTGAGAATAAAACTAGAAAATAAAGCACAGATCATCGATGAAAAAGTGATTACTTGTTTAAGATACTCTCTTCATCAACTTTAACCTCTGAAGAAAATTCTTCAATTACTGATCTTACGGCATTCTCATCACCAGAATTCAAGCTAATCAAGCGCCTCTCTAGCTCAGCAATTTTCTGGTACACCAAAAATGTCAGCATCATCATTCAAATTAGCACTTAAAACTCATAATATATCTAGCAAACACCTAGTTATTTAAGCTAATAAGGGCTGGTCTAACGTTTATCAAGATCTAAAGCAAATTTTAAAATGAAATCTTGTTCTTTTTTTGTAACTATCTTATTGGTATGATTTATTCACCGATTTTACTGATAACTAATCTCTACTGAAAAATTTGATTGACCATAACGATTTCTCTTCTAACCACATTTTTTTTCAACCACAAGACTCGAACCTCATATCTTAGATCAATGACTTGTTCGTAAATAACTTTATGATGAAGTCTTTTTATACTAATAGATATAATTTATTATTATTACTATATATATATATATACATATATATATATATATTTATTATTTTTTAAGATGAAAATTTTATAAAATGAGAGAAAGTAATAGTAGCAGAAATTGAAGATAATCAAACCTCAGAAGGAACAAAATGGGTGGCCAGTCCAACAGCAACTATTTCCTTCCCACTCAACCTTCCTCCAGTAAGTGCCAAGTATTCACCTGTATATTACATGCATGATTTCATTTCTAATTTTCTATGTAATCTGCTAATAAGTTTTTCTTTATTTTAAAATCATTTTATGCTATTTCAGTAAAATTTTGAAGACACTTTTAATGTCAAGGAAGGATAAACATCTAGGGAGATAGAAGTATAAGAGGGAAAAAATTTCAAAACAGTTGAAGAGCACAAGGTAAACAAGAATTCTTCGTGAGATTTTGGTTACCTAAATGCCCTGGTAAACGAGAATGGTAGTATGAGAAGCCACAATCAGTATGAAATCCAAAACTTGCTTCAGGAGTGGCAAAAACCTTTCAAAGCATTGTTTGAACACACCACAAAAAAATTAAGAATTATACCACAAAGCTAACTGAAAATGGATTTAGAAAATGATATCTAACAAGAGAAATACTCACAGTTTTTTCTGTTACAACTGAGAACTTCAATGGGGCCAGGAAAGCTGCACCTCCACCCATTGAAATTCCATGAACAAGTGCAACCTGTTATAGTATAATAGCACCATTCAATAAAACAATGAGACTTAACTTATTTTCACAAGAACATATAGCCTTATATTTTTTAAGGACAGTGGAATTAAGTTCCTAAACCGAACCTGGGCTTTCTTGTAGGTGTTAATGTGATAGCAAAGCCAGTAAAATCTGTAGACCACTTCAAGGCATGCATCCTCTGTGAAGAAAAAATGCATTACTTCAAAAGGTACTAGATGTAAAAAGATATCATCTTACTTATTTCTCTTCTAAATATCATCTACATATGCTCACTCAAAAAGAAAAAAAAAATGAGAATCCTCAAACCACATTATTTTTAACAACTCTATTATCAAGTGAAATTCATCAGAGACTTGCTAAAGTGGTTCCACATGAATTTCATCTAATAGTAAAGAATGTGTTAAAAAAAATGTGTTATTAGTGTTTCTCTGTAGAAAAAAGTGAAATCTCTAAGGGAACTTGTTTGCACAGATTCCCGAAAATCCTATAGAGAAAGATGCATTTACTTGTTTTCCTGCCATCATAGAACACTCTCAAATCCCCTCCAGCACAAAAAGCCCGACCAGCACCCTGGAAAAACAATTGTACAGCAATTGAGTGGAATGTACATAAGTGAAAAACAACAAATGCAAGAAGGTAGATTATTTCATTTTGGTAGGTTATAATAAGAGAAACAGTCATAAAAAAATAAAGAAGAAAACATTAATAATAGCTCACTAGATTATTTCAACAATTTCAGTTAGTGACGTTGTAGCACAGACAGCAAAATTGTGCAGGTTCAATCTCTGTGGTAAGTCTTCTTTTGAAACTATAATAATAATAATAAGTTTAATTTTTACACACTAGTTTAAAAAAATTATATAGTCAACCAATTATATATATATCATCATAAATATGATTCTTAAAGTAATTACTACAAAAATCAACAAACTTATCATATATAGAACCTGAATAGAAACTAGTTTAAAAGACCTTTTTCTTTTAGAACTTTTCTACTATAAAAAATTCTTCTAAACTTATATTCAAATATGTTCATAATAATCCACGATTAGATATATTGTAAAAACCTTTTATACATTCTAATTAAATAATAATCAGAGTAATTAAGTAAACAGCAACCTTTATGATAATTAGCTCTGCTTTATCGTCCTTCTCCCACTTTTCCAAATATGTTGCTAGCAGAGAAACCTGAAACCATTTAAATTTAGTTTTTTACTAAAAAATAGCAGTGATATCAGATGCAATAGATGAAATGAACTCAACAGAGAGAGAAAATTTTGGAAAGTTGAGCAAATCAGATCTACCAGTTCTGGGGAGATGGCATTCAACTGCCTTGGCCTGTTCAAGGTGACCACCCTTACATGCTCAATCTCCTCTCCAACAACAACCTTAACATCAAAACCAACAACAACAACCATAATATCTTATGAAATTTTCTAAAACCCTTCATGGGTGGTAGATAGCAATTGCAAATGCAATTTTTCATTTTTACCAAAAACAAAGATGCAGCATGTCAAGAGAGAAGGGAAACTGTCATCAAATGAAAAACTAATAATCAGCCATTGGAAGCATGATGCAGTGCTTACCTGTTCATCTGGCACTGCAGAACTTGGTGCCATTGAGGTAAATCCTGCACAATAATCAAACAATAAATGACATTTGTGATCAAGTAAATCAAGTTTTAAACCCAAAAGAAGATATTAAATTATTATTGGCAAAATAAAATAAAGGAAAAGTGAAACTAAAATTAACAAGTTGAAGTTAACCTGTGAGAGTGAGTATGAAGGAAAAATGAGATAGAATAAACGTAAAGGAGGATGAACTACAAGTAGTAGCTACTGAGTTATATATAGCTTCTTAAGCTTTTGAGGGTAAACACGGAATAAGGAACTTCGGTTAAGATTTGCAACACCAAATTTTCAATGATTAAATACATCATTAACCAATTTTACCATGCAAGATAATTGGTAATTAGATGATAGATTTTTTTTTCTTTCATAAATATAATTTACACAGTATTTCAAACAATAAAAAATTAATCTATGCTTACTAAATTTTTATTGACTAAATATTTTAACTTAAATAAGAATCGAAATTAAGAGTATTATGTCTTTAGATTACAGTGTAATATTCTTTTACGTTAAAATCTTTAAAATATTAAGTAAAATGTTTAATTTTATATTATATTTAATTTTTTAAATTAATATTTTTATATAAGTTACTTATGTTTTATTTTTTTTCATTTATTAAAATAGGAAGATAAAAATTATTTACTCCTTTTTATTTTTAAATAATCTTAATAACATTTTTTTTTAATTATTTCAATTCTATCTTTCTTTTTTATTTTCTGTCAATTTCGGTTGTATTAATTAAGGTCATGTACCTCGTGGAAATGGGAAGAAAGTGAACTAAGCTTAGTCAACGAATATCTGTCATGTCATATAGTATTTCACATTTATGTTTCTACCAAACACTAAACATATTCGTAAAATAATATATATAATATAAATTTTATTAAACAGTGATTAAGAAATAAAAGTAAAAAATACTATAGGTAACGAGCTCACTTCCGATGTATTTAAGAAAAATATTAATATTTGTTTTTTATCATATTTGCAACATGGTATCTTAAAATTTGAAGATTAAATACAACACTAATTAAATTAATAAACGTGAGTGGAAAAATATTAGTTACAATATTATTATACTAAAATGTTTTTATTTAAAGAGACAAAATATAATTATGAATTATTTACATATTTAAAATAAATGAAAACCCGTAAATCGATAAATATCTTAAAATTAAGAGAAATGTGTATGAAGAACAAATATTTAAGTAGATCATTGTTTAATATTTATCAAAGTTTGAATAGTAATGATAATAATATAATTTAGAGTAAAATTATGTATGTATTGAGTATTAAAAATGTAATAAGTGTAAATAATTTATATTATTAATTAAAGTTATCGTTGGCATGATTTTTAATAATAATTATTATAAAAACAATAAATTTATTATATATATATAATTTGTAATTAAATGAAAATACAAAATTATATTTTATTGTAAATTATATTATTATTATTATTATTATTCAAGTTTTAAGAAATATTAGACAACTGTTCTACTTAACTAATATTATCCTATGAATTTACTTAACATCCAATAATAAAAAATAATCCAAAAGTCTACCCCTTCTAACCTCTATAATGTATTGTGGTGGTAAAGTGAGTGAGGATAATATCTATTTATTTATAATATAATATTAAAATTATTCGTAAAGTGTGATGTTGTCACAACATATTTTTAAGAATTATAGATTTTATTATATAATTTTTTATTGTATATATAATTAGGATGAGTAGACGGACTCGAGTTTGCAGACCAGTCCATAAGTCTGTAAATTTCGCGGATAACGGGCCCGTTTTTTTCAAATCCGTATGACTATGTCTAATTTTTGAGCCCGACCCATGAAGTTCGCGGACTTGGCGGATTTAATCCGCGGGCTCGCAGGCTAGTCTGCGGACTTCACTGATTAATATTTTTAAATATTATGATTTTAATATTAAGTTGTGTATTTAATTTTTTAAATTATGATGACATTAAAATTATGTTTAGTTGGTATGTATTTGTCAATTGAATTACTTTTATGGCATTTTGATGCTTTTATTATTGAAAATTTGGTACTATTATTTAAGTATTTATAATTATTTTTATTTTAATATTTTAATATTTAGTATTTTAAACCATTTTAACTAAATTTATTTTTTTAACTATTATTTAGGCCCGCAGACCAATCCGTTATCCGTAGATTTTGGCGGGCCGGATACGAACTTAAAAAATAAGTCCATTTATTGCGGACTTATCTTAATAATAAACCCTAAACCCCTATATATACAATACTCCTCATAATACACATTTATGACATTTATGTGACATATTTCTTTTAATATATTTATTATCTAGGTTATTAATGTTTTTCAAAAAAAGATTTGAAATAAATTATTTTTATTGATTACTAGAATCTCATTAAAATCTTTCCATATCATTCTTTTAAAGAAAACTCTATGGTACCCCATGAGTACCGGAACAGTCAAATATATTTTATATTTTTTTATTATAATTATTTGTTTTATTTTTATTTTAATTTATTATTTTTAATAATTTATCTTTATAAAATTTTCTATATCTTTAAATTATTTTTATATTTTTTTTGATTATTTTTTTTGAATTAGTCTTTTTGATTGATTCATCTTCTACAAATTTTTTTATCTAAAATTTATGTTATTTTAAATTTATTTTTAAAATTTATTTGTTCACATAATTTGAAGTACCAAAACTTTTCAATTATCATGGGTACCATAGCAGTTTCCTTCTTTTAATCATATCTCTTCTCCTCCACTTTCTTAAGGATTATAATGCATTTTGTGTTCTACACACTTTTTCTGTTGGTTATGTGAGTAAGATAAATTCAATAGTACTTTTTGAGTTTTCAATTTAACCACATTGCTCCGATAAATTATTTTTTAGAAATGAAATTGTGAATAATAATGGAATTTTTCTACATCTTTAAGATTTTTCTCCATTATTTATGTATTTTTTTTCTTTGATTTGGAAAGCTTTAGAATTACTATGCATAAAATTATTCTAAATTAGAATGGAATTAGATTGCTAAAGTATCATGCTAATATAAAATAATATTTTATTTTATCCTTTCACTTAATTAATGCAAGATTTTGGTTTTCTGTATATAAGATTTACGCAGCAACTTAAAGATCTTGCATCAGCTTAAAGATAATGTTAAGTTGTCAACTTCTCAACTTGTGTTTTTCTTCCATTTTAAAATTCTTCTAATTTAATATGTTACATATTAATTAATTCTTTATTTCTCTCATTGTTTATGTGTATTTTTTGGACCTTTACTTCCAAGAAAAAAGATGAATAAATGATAATAATAATCGACAATTATGTTAATTATAATTAGCAAAATTTTAAAGTAATACTAATAATCTCTATGAAAGTAAAAAAACAAAAATGTATAGAAATTAATGACTCTAAAAGAGCATAGGGGACATTGCATAAAGTTATAATAAATAATTTAAAAATTAAAAAGTAAAGTTATAAAAGAAATTATTTGTCTTTAAATTATTTGTTATTGAATTAGAATCAATATTCCTTAATTATCGATTAATATTAGTAATAATTGGTAATCAATTATAATTTAAAATTATTTGTTTCTAAATTTGATTATAATTAAAATTTTAACGATTTCTGAGTACAATTAGATTTGACTTCAATGTTTCATTATGAGATAGTTACGTAAATTAATTTTTTAATTAAAATATTTAATATAAGTTTTTATTAAAACATTAATTTATAATTTGTATATTTATATAAATTTAAAAAATATAAGATTTCTAAATTTAATTTCAACAAAACATTATAATTATTTATTTTATAATTTTATATGATAATACATTTTTCTAATTTTTGGAATATCTGTAAATTATCACATAAATATTAATTTAAAAATATTTTGTGTAATTAATATATATATTTTTTTTGTAAAGATAGAAAAAATTATAAAGATGATCGCAATGAGAATTGAACCTAAGTCTTCATGTTTCTAACTACCCCAACCCCTCTCCACCCAATTAATATAATCTTGATATATAAATATTATTTTCACCTATAAATTTAATAACTATTTAATTTTAATAGTTTATAAATTTATGTTATTTTTAAAATATTTTAATATTTTCAAATTATATTATATACCCCCACAACTTAGGAGTGAATATCTGGTTAATAATAATTGTAAGAGCAATCCATATGAACATGCTATAATATAATATAATATAATATAATAGCACGCCTTCACCTACCACTTAAATTATTATTAAAACTTCCAAGTAAAGACCTAAACCTTCACCATCCATTCCACCAACCACTTTTTCTTCCTCGTGCCCTTCACCAACCAACTCTACCCCCAACGTCTAAATTTTTATCTGAACCTCCCAGCTTATTTATTTATTTATTTATTTTTATTGCTATTTCAGTAAAGGAAAATGAAAATAATATTATTTTTAATGTTGTATTATTATTATTAAATAAATTACACATGAATTTTATATAAAAGAGAAATTTTAATGAGCCATTTTTAGTATTAGCAAAAATTTATTAGAACAATCATAATTTTTAATAAGTTTTATGATTTATTTAATAAATATGTCCTGATTTAATGATAGAAGTTATTTATAATTTTAAATATATAATCAATAAAAAAATGTTAAGAAAATATAACTAGCATTGTTCTGTGTGTATATATAAAAAAGCGTGCATTTTTTTTACTTGTTAAATAAACAATTCTCTTTTGGTATATATTTTTCTTTGAGCGATTTTAACTCCGGTTTGTACAAACTTTTGTTAATTCTCTTTCACAATTTACCTAATATCGTTTTTTAAACTGTTTACTGTTATTATTAGTATTTTTTTTTTATTTTTAAATAATATGTAAGGGAAGAGAGGGTCTCTTATGCTCTAGTTAATATATTTAGACAAATGTGAATCTTAAGTTACGGAAGTGAATTCTTTAAGTTTTCCTTTTAAAAACAAAGTTAGTTTAAGAATAGAATTAGTCTAACAAGCTATTATTTTTGTGAGACCCGCACCTCCCACTCTTCAAAAATCCTTTATTTTTCATTTTCATCTCTTCCTTCACTTTACTCAATCCCATTCCTTTCCTTGACTGAAAACCTAGATGTTGGTGCTTGATTTTAGAAGGTGAAGCTCTTGAGGACCAAGGAAAGTTGTAAGGCTAGTCTTCCTCCCATAAACAATTC